ATAATGAATTTAAATATTATATTAAACATGAAATGAAATATTAAAGAGAAAAAAAAAATGTATAATATGTAGTTGTATTAATATAAAATTAATTGACAGAATAAAGTGAAAAATGCAATTAGAAGCGATAGTAAGACTGAATCCTCGCCAAACTTATTAAAAAGAAAAAAAACAATTTGTAATACAAAAAAAAAAGAAATATAAATAAAAGTCGTAAATATGGCGTCATTAACATTACTAAAAAATTATATAATATTAAATACTTTTTATGCCAGTGGCTTAAAATGTTCACTTGTCACTCGCTGCGACATGAAAAATAATTGTATACGTACCACGGTCAGAAGTGAAGAAGCCTCATTGTCGTGTTAGACTGAGGTAAAGCCAAGACTTTCTTAATATTTATAGCCTACAGTTAAGTACTTGATGTACTCAGGGAAATTATTTCGAGAAATAGTGAAATCTACGGCTTAGCATATTGTGCCATAAATGGATTAACAGTGATTCACGTATGTCGTCAACATTTTCCAGTGACTTTAGTGTGGGGCAAGCGAATTGGAAAGCTCAGCTCAGAGGGCGCTAGAGAGAACAGCCGATTTTTTCGAGCAGAATTTTCGATGAAGACTTAATTTAACATATTAAATAAAACTTATGGGGTTACTTCATGGCTAAAAATTGCAAAAAAAAAAAAAAAAAAAAAACTGAAAAATGTTTTCTAAAGATTTGAAGAGACGAGGTTAGACGCTATCATAATTTTACATTTTAACTCACGAATAAAAATTACCTAATTTATTTTAAAAAATTGTAACACGCAGAAACAAACAACTTTCGTACTTAATGCTACAATCTTAAATTGTTAAACTATTTATTTTATGAGAACGCTACCTTTATTAATTTTACAAAAAAAATACTAAGCTTGCTTCTATTATTTCCCCCTGATAACTACTAAGTACATGAAGGTGTGAAGTGCCACGTCACTCGAATGTGGTTCGTTTTCATGGGACAGAGAAAATGACGCAAGCGTCACCTTCGAAAGTAAAATATACTTAGGTCTTTGTTGTGCACCAAACTTTCGATAAGTACTGTAGGTTAAAATGGTTACCATGCATCTGAGTCATGCTGCACGTGAACAGAAAGCACTTGAGTAACGCAGCTCACGAGCTCACCTCAGAGTTGTATATTTTAAAAGTTGATAACAATTACATTTTGATTGATTTTTGACACATTCGCAGTGGACGAAAATTTGTTTTTTTTCTATGAAAGATGAGATCTCGGCACTATTTCCACCAAAGTTAAAATATTGAAGCGTTCTGTCAGTGCGTCTTTTTAAGTGGGACAATGACTTGTTATTTAATAATTTTAGAATCTGTTTTATTAAAAGCTACAATCCAAAGCAAGGTGCAGCTATCAATAAGACCATGTATAAATAATATAATAGTACAATTTAATATTATCAATATAATTTCAAAAGATTGATGGATCACGCGACGAAGCCTATTTAATCAAGATTTTATTTGTTAAGGCTAATCACATAGTTAGTTCATAGCAAGAAAATTCAAGTATATCAGGTTTGAGACATAAAAAATATAATTAGTACTTTGAGGTTAAATCAAAATAAGTATTATTTGTTAAAAAAAAAAAGAGGTTATGGGTTAATTACTTGGGTAATGGGTGAGGGGTTATTGGTCGAAGTTAGGGTCAAACCACTCTACTTATTTGAGTGGTATACAGGTAGGAAAAATACAATATAAAAATATTTCAATTAAGAGTTTGTGATGTTGGGTTTCACTTAAATAAATTTTGAATTTAATAACTAAATTGGACTTTTCAGTTATGAATATTAGTATTTTTTTAGTAAACTAGGTTTTATTGTGAAGGTCCGCGATTGCAATTACTTAAGAGGTTATGTTAATAAAAAGCAGTTATACATGAATTTTTTTTTTAAATAAGATATTACAGGGAAACTGAGGACTTGTTTGTGTTGACAGATGAAAAAAACAGTAATTTACTGACTAATAATGATGCTAAGCGTGAGAACTATGAGAATTAGTATACTTAATGATATTATTTTATTTTCTTTTATGTAAGATATGTTATTAAATTTTAAATATTGACATATGTGTGACAAAAGGTGTTTATTGAGGATACGTTTATCCTAATATTATTTTTACGTACTGAATTTATTTTTAAAACGTACATAATTTACAGTTTTTTTTGTTTTAATCTCACAAAAATTTAAGACTGATGAAAAATAGGTAAATCTAGGAAATCTTTGATGAAAGTATACCTGCATTTGATGATAGCCAATCAATTCTGCATCGCACGTATCACAAAGGTAAATATCGTCGGTTGGTGGCTCTACCATAGCTGGGGATGGAGCTTGTCTTTGGGATCGTCTTCGTAGACACTTTGCTAAACTGGAATTTTCTTTCGATTTTTTAGCTGACAGCAATTTTTTTCTTGGACTCTCGGTTTCTTTATCATAATTCTAGAATTGATACATATATTTAGATATGGATACGAATAAAATTAATTTCAGTACTTTTTAAATTTAACAACGGTAATTTTTTTTCCATCCCTCCAAATTTTTACATTAATCGCGAAACAAATGAAATGAGGAGAAAATTTTAATTAATTACCATATTTTCAATACGAAAGGTAACAAGTAGTTTTCCAGTAGTGTTGAGGTATAGGCTTGTTGTAGAGTCCCAATTATTGATATATTCCAGTTTTTCGTGAGGATATTGAGCCAAATAAGAACAGAAGCGAAGTAAATATTCACTTCTGTGGTACGTGTAGCACCGAAAAACGAGTTTTTTTAAGTTACTCATATAGCTCTGAAACGTAAATGAAGTAACGAAATGAATACACCTACGAGTTTTGAAAATTCAAGTATACATTAAAATAAGACTTTTTAAGCACTTTGAGTGTGCTGTTAGAGAAACTTAATGTAAGTAAATAAAAAAGAATTTAGATAATAATATAATGTTGAGCAGTATGAAATATGGTTGATTTTGTTTTTCAACAGGATTTACGGTGCACGTGTACTCTACGAACATTACATGACAAAACTCAACAATTTTTATTATTTAAACGCTAAAAATATCATTATGCTAAACCTTTTATTTTTCAGATGTTACGTTTAACTCGCACTCACAATTTCGTTATTAAGTTTCTTCAACTGTCCTTTAAGCAAGATTTCAAACAGAAATATCGAACCTTGCTTTAAATTGGTCTGCGACTGTAACGACTCGCAGAGCTCTATCTCCTAACTTTTCAAAGCAATCGCTTCTTCTGAGACAAACATCTTTGTTTTTTTAATGTTTATATTTCTCCATTAAATTAATTAAATACTCACAGTGCTCAGCATTACAATGTTTGAGCCATGCTGACTCAATGTTTGACTCGTTGCTGAGCCACTGAGTTTTCAGAATCTCAGGAAAGTTCATCCATTTGAAAAAAAAAAAAAAAAAAAAAAAAATTTTAAAAATACTTTTGCATATTTACAACCATAATGTTAAAAGAGATACAAAAAAAAAAAAAAAAAAAAAAAACAAATTGTTTCTCAGAAACAACTTTATAAACTAATCATGATGTGGACGTATTTTAGAATAAAATAGACGTTGCACTGCAGTAACCCATCAGCACTGATCGACGTCTTTTAAAAAGTTTGATGAAAACCAGTCTACCTGAGATCACAAACGTTCAGGGTTCGTCGTCGTAGGTCGAGGCCGAATGATTAAGATAGCTGTTTCTGTGCTGGCTCGCAAGCCAAGTCGTCGTTGAATCAGCCACGTAATAACGAGTCTCGCCGCCGCAATATCTGTTGGGCGATATGTACATGTTCATTTCGGGCACACCCTGGATTGTTGTTTGCTTCTTTCCCAGATGGTCGTAATTATCGTCCGTGGGCCCATACGGGCTCGCGCTCACCTCGTCCTCGGACAGTTCCTCGTCAGACGAAACGAGATCTACCACGGTAATCGTCCTGCTTGCGTTCCTTGACTTTGCGAACACCATAGGTGAAGGATTCGGGCGCTTTAGAGTTTGCGGCTTCATCAGAGGAGTTCGTGTTACTACAGGAGGGTTGACTGGCCTGATTGGAGCGACTACAGCCTGCGGTCTCTTATGATGTACGGTGGTCAAGCTCACAATGGGCTCCCTGATGCTTAGTTGGGACAGCAGTGATAATGGTACTGGTGGTGGAATTGGTGGTGAAGGTGGCAGATCGTCGTCTTCGAGGTCGATGATTTCGATAGGGTTGGACTCGTCACCCGGTTCAGCCTCGAAAGAGAGCACCGACTCGATCGAAGGTGATCTTGGTCGAAATTGTGGCACCTGGCGCTCTGGGCTCTTATACCTAGAAGGATCGCGTTTCAGCTCTTCAAGCTGCTCATCAGTAAGTCGTTCTACAACGACGTAGATTGGCTTACAGGACAGATATTTCAACTGCGAAGGTAGATCCAACACTGGAACAACAACAAAAAAATAAAACATAGACAACCCTTTTTTTTCAATTTTACGCGTCGGTCAATATAATTATATCGACAAGGAAAATCTAAAGCCGTCTCTGTTTTCATTTTTTCAAGTACAATCATCGAACACGAATGTTTTACGTGGATCAAACGACGCGAGATATAAAAAAAATCAAGGATATCCTGATGCCGAAAATAAAACATTTTTGCCTTTCTTTCCTTTCCACCCACATGTAAAGAAAATGTAAAACTGAGCTCATACTCACTTGGTTTGCCGCTGTAGTTTCCAAAATTGTACAAGTGAACGTACTCGCTCGATCGTGACGTTTTATCTCGGTTTGGTTTGTATGTAACAGACCATCGATCGAGTTCGTACGTTTTAGTGAGCCACTTGGGCTTCAACGATGTGGACAAGGCTGGTGCGTGTAGGTACCTTTCTATTCTGTCGAGTCGTTCCTGCTGGATGGCTTCCGTCATCATTTTCGACTTTTTGCCGAGAGATAGACCAGCTGGGGAGGAAAAGGGTATCGTGGGACATCGGGTAAGATTTATGGAGCCGCGAATGCGATTTGAGGAACGGAGTTGCGCCGAGTCTAAGAACGCCGACAAGGCGTTCTTTTTGCCACTACTCTGAGTGCTCGGTTGATTTGTGTTAGAATTGTTTGGTCTCATGTGAAAATAGTCCATAAATTGGTCTTGCGTCAGTTCTGGTTCCCCTTCGATATCTATGGGTGTTGGTGGTCTTGGTTCAACGGTATAACACAGTTTTTCATGTTCCTATGCGATGCAAACAAAAGAAATTTTTTTTTTTTTTTTTTCAAAAAAGGGTCAAAACATTACCAAGTTCGATGATTACTTAACGCTCTCTAATGAAATACACAGTTACAATTCTAACAGACAGTAAGATAAAACAGTTATGACATCTATCAACCATACTATCTGATAATGAATCCAAAGAAAATATGTGGACAAAAAGTGATGAGTAGTTCCTGAATTTTCTCTTGATGTGAGCTCGATAATTGGCGTAAGATTCACTTGAAATTAGCGATTTTTACACTTCGTTTCCTCTTCAAGTTGACATTGTTGATATTTTGTTTTATTAATTAAGCAGAAAAATCAGGGGTCAAACATGTCAATGAGAAAAGTTAACCTTACCAATTTTTTTCATAATCACGATTCAGCTGCAAAATGTGATAAAACATTTTTTTCTTGTGGTGGGTGGAAAAACTTTGCACCCTTTAATCACGCAACACCCTTATATATTTTGTCGTAATTCTTTGTCTCGATGTCTCTCTCTCTCTCTCTCTCTCTCGCTTTCTCGTAAGACATTTTTTAAAAATACCTCAAGTTCAGCAAAATACACGATAACGCGAGACTTTTGTGTTGAGAAACCACACCTTAATATTTACTGTATTCAAGTGCAGTGGTCCCACGATAAAAAAATACTAACCATAATAGAGTGAGACTTTGAACTTAAAAAAATGCATCCCTCTCTTTTCTTCGTCGTTGGTGCAGAGGATGCAATTATAGTAGTCCTACCACTGGCGCCAGTTCAAAAGATCAGCGCTAATGATTTCACCACCTTTTGGATGGTCAACTTTGAGGGAGAATAAGAAACAAGAAAAAAAAAAAGAGAAGGAAAAAAGGGGCCTCCGCAGGATCTGTGAAAGAGCTTTGAAGACTGTATCTTCTCCTTTTCTTCCTGCATACTTGATTTTTATTTGCACATGGGAAAGGACTTTGCTATCATTAAAAGTAGATTTTTCTTTCACGTGAATAAATTATGGTGCACGTTTCTAACTATGGTGCAGTCGTTGAATAGTAACGAGGATAAATGGATTTAAGAATATGAATAAAGATTAGAAGTGTACCAAATACTGTAATCCAATGTTTTTTTAACTTTTGATGGGTTTGTGTGCTTGGACAGACTTAGTTAAACTTGGGGCCCACAATCGGACTTTTTTAAATGATGAATCATTATTTCTAAGGTAAGGTATCCATTTGTGTCATGTAAAATGTCAAAGGCATCAATTGGTTTTTCATTTAAATGTTTATCACGAGTAGATCCATACTTTTGTCAATATAATAGCCTCAAAAGGATTTATAGCTTTTGTAATATCTTTTCTCTCGATTTTCTTCTGTATTTACAATAATGGCTATCAAAAAATATGAATTGAATTAATGTACTAATTGGTAAAAATAACATGAAATAAGAATTTAAGTAACATACGGTTAAAATTGTGTGTAAAGTTACATAACAATTCATGAATCTGACTAAACAAGTATGAAATATGTTGTAACAAACAGACGATGGTAATACGAGTAATAAAACAGTTATCCAATCATTTATTCTGACATAATTCCTTATCTCAAAGAAAGCAAGAACACACGAATCACGTAAAGATAAAAAGTCAAACAGTTGTATTTACTTTGAGTTCAATTTTTTTATTTGCCCATATATTAACCAAAAGCTCCCTTGTTTTTTCATAACGGTCGCAGCCGTCAGTTCATCGATAGGTGAAAGGTTTGCAAAAACAAGATCAAAATGTTTAACGCGAAAACCGTTTTCGTGCTCTGCTGTGAGTAAATCTGATAACTGTCTTTAACGATTAAATGAACTTGTAATTCGTAATACATAATTCGTTGGAAATCTTCTAATTTTACATCAACAGTAATCATAGCCAGTTTGGTTTCCAATGGATTGGCATATCCTCAATGCCATTGCCCTACGACCTTCGACTATAACCCTGTTTGTGGTGTTGATGGTGTGACTTATACGAATGTAGGAACGTTGGGTTGCCACAACAGCTGCAGAGGCACACGTAAGATTCTTATTTTAGTGAATTCGTAAGCAATTTTAGAGAGAGTTATGTTCAATGTTCTGAGTGAATCAATAATTTCTATCGAGTTTTATCAAAAATATGTAGTAATTAACAATATACTAATCATTATATTTCAGTCGTTGGAATAGCACACAAAGGTGAGTGCGGAAAAAAATTGACTACTTTGTCTCAACCCGTTTATCACCAGCAATGGTACTGGCCGGCATTTTATCCATCATATTCATATTATCAACC